CTGTGAGATAATAGTAAGATGGGTGCGTAGTTCCTCAAGTGCTCCTATAGAGCACGTGGTAACACAGGCCAAGTAAGGACCAAAGAAGAGTAATTTTCTGTACCCAGTTTTATCTGTTTACTTCCTTTGTCAGAGAGAGGCAGAAGACAGGAAATGTCAAGAGACAGGTAAATTATTAGAAGCTTGTTAGAAGTTATTTTTAGGAGATCAAACTTTTTCAAATTTTTTTCCTAGATTTAGATTTCTATAGCAGTTATTAGGGGCAAAATAGTGTACTATAAAGAACATGTACTATAATATGAACCCTACTCATTTCATAGCATAGGATAAGATAAAAAAATGCTTTGTAAGCTGTATGTTTTAAATTGCTTTTATAAAATTGAATTGCTTTCCCTATTTTACAAAAGGTCAGTTGCAGTTATGTAAGGATCTCCTATTGAAACTGAATTTCTGATGGTCAGTATACTGCCCAGCATGTGAAGCAACTATGGAAACTACGGTGTGGTGAAATAGAGCACCCTTGAGCAGTATCTCAGCTATACAACTGTTAAAAGTAATCATATCCCAAAAGTGATCAAAATTGAGCAGTTGGTAAAAGGAGAAGGAAACTTCCTTTTCATTAGTATCCTTTTATATTGTTTAGTATAGATATGTATTAACCTATTCAAACTTTGTGTAACTGGCGAAGCTCAGCAGTATGACTGTGGGTTGAGACACAACCTGACAGCAGCAGGATGAAACTGAGCTTTGTAACCTGAATAGAATTCCCCAGGAAAGCTGGGCCAGGGGTTTGACTTGAACTGCAAAACTCCTAGGAAGACAGGACAGGTAACCCCTCTGCAAGAGGACTAGTAACACCGCCATGTCTCCACTTTCAGTGGGAAAGGGGAACCTGTGACTGAACTCAGCTGGCACTCCTGCCGACAGCTCCTCTACCAGGCAGTGGCCACAATCCTGGCCCATGCAGGCTTTGAGTGTGCTAATGAGAGTGTCCTGGAGACCCTAACCGACGTGGCACATGAGTACTGCCTTAAGTTCACCAAGCTGCTGCGCTTCGCTGTGGACCGGGAGGCCCGGCTGGGGCAGACTCCCTTTCCTGACGTGATGGAACAGGTATTCCATGAAGTGGGCATTGGCAGTGTGCTTTCCCTCCAGAAGTTCTGGCAGCACCGCATCAAGGACTATCACAGTTACATGCTGCAGGTGAGTAGACCCTGGGGGAAAGTGGGTAAAGCTATGTAATCTAGGGGTGTTCAGCAGGACCTCACACTTGCTCTAGAGAGCAGAGCACGGTCTTGGAACGGAGTGGATTTAACCTGCTTTTCTTGTGGCCCTGTGTTTCACTGGCCTTCTCACTGACCTGGCCAGACCTGGGGCCTCCTTTCGTCAATTATTGGCCCCATTTATTGATAATACACACTCTGGAATAAATTATAGACAGGTAGATGTATGGAAGCTAAGAGAAGGTGATTAGCGTGACTTATTCAACAGATATTTGAGTACCTATTGTGAGTCAGGCGCTGTGGGATATAGCAGTTAACAAGACAAGTTCCTTGAGCTTTCTCAAGAGGAAACAAAAAATAATCGAATGATCAAAACAATTTCAGACAGTGTTAAGTGCTATGAAAAACAAAACAGAGTGGCATGATACTACCCTGGGCAGAGGTGAGGGAGAGAGATTAAAACCAGAAATATATGTTCAGCTCTCACGGCCTTAAGCAAGTCATTTGTTCACTGTTTTGATTTCCCCAAATCTAAAATATAAGGAATTTTTTTGACACCCAACAAAAAGTCTTTGCTGAATGATCCAGATTTCCTATACCATTCATTATGCACCTAGGGTACATACTCAGCTGTTAGTTTTTATGCCCAAAATGTGATCTTTTGTCCCTGTTCTGATATGTCTTTAACATAATCTCATTTTCACCTTTATGTAACTTAATGACACACATGCTCTGCCAAACAAGCTTTCTTTACATGTGTGTATCCTTTACAAATGCAAACTCAACACCTCAAATAAATTCCCTCCATTAGCAGTGAATGCTTTATTCATATCCATATTTTGTTGGCTTTTCCATGGGATGCCACAAGCTGACTATCCAGCTTGCTTTTAACATTTCCTTGGAAAACTGACTCTTGTTTGCCAACAGATTAGTAAACAACTGTCTGAAGAGTATGAAAGGATTGTCAATCCTGAGAAGGCCACAGAGGATACTAAACCTGTAAAGATCAAGGAGGAACCTGTGAGCGACATCACCTTCCCTGTCAGTGAGGAACTGGAGGCTGACCTTGCTTCTGGAGACCAGTCACTGCCCATGGGCGTCCTCGGAGCTCAGAATGAGCGCTTCCCATCTAACCTGGAAGTTGAAGCTTCACCACAGGCTTCAAGTAAGAGAGGTCAACTTACTTTGCTTCTGAACAACCACCAAGCTCAGTAATTTTGCATTTGGAATCAAACTCTAGAAATGGAAGAACAGAAGTTGTGGCAGGCAGAATAGAAAGTTAAAAGCAAATGGCCTCACTGATCTCCATACACCAACGTTCTTCACTGTTTAACTAGTGAAGGGAGAACTAGCACAGCTTTATAAGCATTCTTTAAAATAATTCCTAGCTAGGATGCAGATGTCATCCCATTGATTGCCAGTTAATTCAGCTGACCCAACAGTGTCTCCTTCCTTAGTATTCTGTATCAGTCTTTCCTGATGCTTGTATTCAGTTGATTAAGACAAATTCCAAATAGATGAAAGAGTGGTAGTTGCTCAACAATGTCTGAGTAGGGTGGGCTTCCTTGGAGTACCCCCAACAAATTGGACCTAAATGGCCCACCCAATTAGAAGCAGCTGGCCTCTTCCAGATAGTGAAGTCTCTTCTTTCCTCTGTGATCACCTTAGAAACCAGGATGGCTTGATCCTAAGTCATTTAGATTACAATTAGTTTAGATACTCAGTTTTTTACAAATATGAATTGTCATTTCATCATAGATGACACAAATAGCAAATCCTCTAGTGTAACCTAACAGAATTAGACTACATTTTTAAGTGTTAGGCAGAGCCTTTCACTATGGAAGAACTAATAACCACAGAACAGTATTGCTGGAACACACAGACTGGAGGGCCAAAAAGAAATTGTTACAGAATTAGGGACCATGTCTCTCTTCAGCAGTCTAAGAACTGCTGCCAGCATTTTATAGTGATCACTAACTTTTCATAATGTGAGAGGACCAGGGACCCAAACAAAGGGCAGAAAAACACAACCCCATAAAAAAGAAAGGAAGGAAGGACAGGCAAACTTAACACCTGACCAGAAGCTTGTGGTTGTGCCTGCCATTGCCGTGAGACAGGCAATCTTCCCACCTGCGTACAAAATGGGGGTGGGTGAGGGTTCTGTAAAAGAGTGGAGGAAGTAGAAACTTTTTAAAGTTGAGAGTAACCACCATATTCTTCAGCCAAGTAGAGTGTCAAAGTGAACAGAGTTCAAAGGCTGTCTGTCTTTCCTGGGTAGTATGTTCAGTCTACTTTGTTCCACGCTTGGCACACCACTAATTGTATGTTCTTCCATTTCTAGGTACAGAGGTTAATGCTTCCCCACTTTGGAATCTGGCTCATGTGAAAATGGAGCCTCAAGAGAGTGAAGAAGGCACTGTCTCTGGGCATGGTGTGCTGGGCAGCGATGTCTTTGAGGAACCCATGTCAGGCATGAGTGAAGCTGGGATCCCCCAAAGCCCTGAAGACTCAGACAGCAGCTATGGTTCCCATTCCACTGATAGCCTCATGGGATCTTCCCCTGTTTTCAACCAGCGCTGCAAGAAGAGGATGAGGAAAATATAGAAGGACAATAAGGAGATTTTCTGTCCAGACTTAAAAGACCCAACATCAAGCCTTGGAAGTATTCAAATTTGTTTCTAAACAGCTATTTAACTCTTTCAGAGTGGTTTTTCCTGATTTCAGTAGAACTGCACTTCACCAAACAAGTTTTGCATTTTACTTTTGCATCCAGATTTTGTAGTTTTCCACAGCAGCCACACCCCCTTTCACAGACAGATGGGGACACTGAGATGGTAATCAGAACAAAGCACTGCCCGTCTTTACTATGTGACTAGATAACTTAGCTTCTGCAGAGCCATTTCTCTTGCACAACTGAGCTTTGACCTGCCTTGCAGGAATGTTGTGAAGACCGAGATGTTATTAAACCTCAAAGCTGTGCTTAAACAGACTCACAAATAAAATATATACTGATATCAGATGTCATTTTTCTCATTTAACTTGCTTCTCTTTGGGTTCGAGTCATTGGGAATCCAATACTGATACCTAACTGGAAATAGTAGCTAAACACTCACATCTATCACTAGTCTTTTTTACACTGTTCTTACTGCCCATGAAATCTCCTGTAAGGTCTGTGGTAACACAGTCTTTTTACTTATTAAGATAGCCCTCTCCTAGCTCATCTGCATATTTTCTTCTTCCAAAGATTATTGCATCTATCCTCTTCCTTTTTAATTTTTCCTTATTTCCACTCAGATTTTTAAAATACTTCCACCATGTCCATTTTTTTAATTTCTCATTTTCCCCTTTGTAAATGAAACAGGCAGAACCTGTCCACAGACAGACTTGTGCTTATTTCCTTAATTGCATCTAATCGGCCATCAGAGGACAGTGGTCCATTCCTTTGCCCGAGTTCTGTCTACATCTGCATATTGTGCTTCTGGATGGGCCACCTCTAAAAGGATAACAATACACACCTTTCTACTTTGCTGTCAGATCCTCAGCAACTTGACTGCTGTTACTCACCCAACACAGTAGCTGTCCTGCTTGGCATCTGATAGTCTCAATCAATATTTACTAGGCAAATAATGTCACAGTGGAACAATTAGGAGTAATTTAGCAAATGTGAGCCTTACGCCTTGATAATGGATGCCAGCATGTTAAATACTGCTCAAGTTTGGTTTTGGGTGCAAAACATAAGTCTTGTGAAATTTACATTCCTTTAATAGAGACCAGAAGTCAAGGCACAGCTTTAATTAGTACATTACTGAGTGCCTTAAATGTCTTAGGCATTGAAAATACAAATGCAATAGCAATAAAATGAGGTTACAACTTAAACTGTTACCAGATTGTTTCTAAATGTGCTAATTTTACATCCTTACCAAACTTATCTAAACCTTTCCTGTTCCAGGCTTAGCTTCATTTTGCCATTTTTATGAAAGTAGACATCAGGCAGTCAGTTTCCATAAGTAGCTAGCTATCTGGTATTTAATTCATTCAGTGAGCAAACATTTACTGATTACCTACTATGTGCTAGGTCCTGTGCAAAGAGTACAAAGATGAGTAAGACTTTGTCCCTGCTGTTATGGAGCTTACAGGGCAGGCCAGGTAAGTTGTCTTTGCGGAAGAAGTACTTGAAGGCACTGAGGGGAAAAACCCAGCATGTTCGGACTTTTGCTTTGCAAATGGTTTCCTCTGGAACAGGGTCAAATTTTTAGAACAATAGTTATAGAATGTTGAAATTAATACCTCATGGTAAAATACTTCTATTTTTAGAATGCTTAAATTGGAGAATAGGCACCAGACGATCAAGATGAGGGTACTCTGATAAAGCAGGCTGTGCTGAGGATGCCTGAGTCACCTCACCTAGAACTGTCAACAGGCTCTTCGAGTTAGAGCAGTTCTCAAGTTTACCCTCTATCAGAATCTCCTAAAGGGTTTATTAAAACAGATTGCTGGGCCTGATTCCTAGTTTCTGATTAGCTCTTGAGTGTCCTGTTTAGCAATTTTCCAGGTGATCTGTTGCTTCGGGTCCTGATTCCTACTGAACTGTAACATAGTTTAGGCAGGGATAAAATTCCTTGAGAAATGTACTGTCTTTAAGATACTGTGAAGAACGTGGAGGTGCGGCAAACCATTACCATGGCTGTAATGTATGGACTGTGCGCCTGCCCCAAATCCAGGGCCTCTGAGTAAACCACCAAGGATACTTTGTGTTAAGTTCAAAGTACAATACAAAAAGCACTGTGGGTAAAGTGAAGGTTCCTATGGCCAGGATTCTCACCTGGCCCTGGTCAGCTAGCAGCTCACTACACACATGCAGCAATATGTTGTTATTGACTCTATATAAAGAGCTCCGCCCAGTGCTCTGGGCAACATGGTGGCACGGCTGCAAGGCTGCAGGAGAGCAGAGACAAGACTGGAGTGGTAGCAGCGCCAAGGACAGAGACTGAGACAGCTGTGGGGGTATAGGGGCCCAGAGGAAGAGACCAGCTTGCTTCATACAGACTTGCTCTGAGTAGATGGGATTCTAGTGACCTGCCACCAGGGAAATAAAGTTGGGTATAACTCTTTCACCCCAAGAACATTCTACTATCATTTCTTTGGTCTCACTGAATCCATAGTGAACTTGTCCAAGGCTGAAACCCATAGGCAAGACAAGGGCCCAGCTCTAAACCTCCTTACAAGGTATGTACATGAGAAACTTTAGTAAACATCACCTTCTTACTGAAACCAGTTTGGACATGTGGTTTTAATCTTTCTACTAAACAGAAGTGAACCTATTTACACCTATGTAATTTTCTAGGTAGAAATTATGACAGGCTTACAACAAAGTTGCAATTAAAAACTCTTTGAGTCACCATCCAAAGCAGGATTCTTATTCATTAACCATACGTTTTGCTCACCTTCTTCAATGAACCTGGTCCTATCAATGAGCTACCCACTCTGATATCACACCAACGTTGACTGGTTGCCAAGAAGACTCCACTGCCACTCTGGACAAGCTCTTATTTCCTCTCTCCCTTTCTGCTAAAAGGAGGGAAACCCAGATGCTGGGAGAGCAGACAGTACAGATCCAGCCTAATAACAGAGATTTGAAGTGAACAGTAAGTACGTTCTCTGTTCCATCCATCAGCAGCAAAAGTAAAAATAATAAAACTTGAAGTTTTAGGCTTGAAGGGATACCAGCATCCAAAAACAGAGTTGGCATCTACTCGCCGAGTCCAAAGGTCTTCTATCCCTGGCTTCATCTGAGTCAAATTTCCCCAGAAAGAGAAATTCTGCTACCCTGAAGAAAATTGTCCTTTATAGTAGCCCCTGCAGAGACAAGACTGGAGTGGTAGCAGCGCCAAGGACAGAGACTGAGACAGCTGTGGGGGTATAGGGGCCCAGAGGAAGAGACCAGCTTGCTTCATACAGACTTGCTCTGAGTAGATGGGATTCTAGTGACCTGCCACCAGGGAAATAAAGTTGGGTATAACTCTTTCACCCCAAGAACATTCTACTATCATTTCTTTGGTCTCACTGAATCCATAGTGAACTTGTCCAAGGCTGAAACCCATAGGCAAGACAAGGGCCCAGCTCTAAACCTCCTTACAAGGTATGTACATGAGAAACTTTAGTAAACATCACCTTCTTACTGAAACCAGTTTGGACATGTGGTTTTAATCTTTCTACTAAACAGAAGTGAACCTATTTACACCTATGTAATTTTCTAGGTAGAAATTATGACAGGCTTACAACAAAGTTGCAATTAAAAACTCTTTGAGTCACCATCCAAAGCAGGATTCTTATTCATTAACCATACGTTTTGCTCACCTTCTTCAATGAACCTGGTCCTATCAATGAGCTACCCACTCTGATATCACACCAACGTTGACTGGTTGCCAAGAAGACTCCACTGCCACTCTGGACAAGCTCTTATTTCCTCTCTCCCTTTCTGCTAAAAGGAGGGAAACCCAGATGCTGGGAGAGCAGACAGTACAGATCCAGCCTAATAACAGAGATTTGAAGTGAACAGTAAGTACGTTCTCTGTTCCATCCATCAGCAGCAAAAGTAAAAATAATAAAACTTGAAGTTTTAGGCTTGAAGGGATACCAGCATCCAAAAACAGAGTTGGCATCTACTCGCCGAGTCCAAAGGTCTTCTATCCCTGGCTTCATCTGAGTCAAATTTCCCCAGAAAGAGAAATTCTGCTACCCTGAAGAAAATTGTCCTTTATAGTAGCCCCCAATCCGAGGTCAGGATAGGGTTCCAAAATTTTTGACTTCTCGAAACTACTTGTTGTTTCTCTTCCAGTACTGTGACATTGATTCTTGCATAAAATTCTGGAATGCTGGCTCTTCATGGCTTTCCTCTGTAACTGCAATGGAAAAAGGTCAATTCTTTTTAACTCTCCAATTAGGTAGATTAGAGCTGCTGTCACCCATCTATCAGAAATGATACTCTATTTCTAAGAAAGTGTTCACTTCTCCCAATAAGGAAGTATCTCCCAGAAGCATGCTTCATTTATCTCGCTGCCCAAAATATACTATTTCTTTCAACTGTAAGTGGGGAGAATACATCCCTCAAAGTAACTACAATGAGGTCTCACTCCTAGGTATTTTTAACCAAGAGAAATGAAAACATGTCTACATACAGATCTATTTACAAACCATTATAGCAGCTTTATTTATAACAGTTAAAATCTGGAAACCCAAATGTCTGCTAGTGAATGAATAAACAAATTGTGGACATCCACATAATGGACTATTACTCAGTAATAAACATAGTATTGATCCATGCCACAACATGGATGGATCATAAAAGCATATTACACTGACTATAAATGTCAAACACAAATATCTAAGTACTCTGAATCCAATTATACAACATTCTAGAAAAGGCAAAATTAAAGATATAGAAATCAGACTAGTGATTGCCAGAAATTAGGTGTGCAGGAAGGGAACTGAATAAAAACAAGGAGCTTTTGGAGGTGATGGAAGTGTTCTGTATCTTGATTATGATGATTACAAAACTGCACATATTTACTAGAACTCATCAACTATACACTTAAAATGGGTAGGTTTTACTGTTTGTAAATTATACCTCAATAAATCTGATTATATGAGGCAGTTTACATGTTAGCATCCAGCAGGCAAGTAAAGAGAGATTTGTTCTTGCTCACAGCTTGTGCTTAAAAGCAGTGTTTCGAGAAATAGATTCTGTTCACAGTTCATAAAACTATGCCAAGTGGAACCCTTTTGGGTTTCCAGAGGTGTTCTATCCTCCATGTTACAGCCCCTTCTGACTAGTTTTGGTCTGCAGAGCTCTCCTTATATATTCTTAAAACAATGATTACAAACAAGTCCTGGCACTCCTCAAATTGAACTGAGGTTAGAAGACACAAAACTAATAAAATGCCTGTAATCAGCTCATTGTTAACCGTTCAGTAGGCAGGCCAGGAACTCTCAAAAGAACCCTTTTCTGGTGCTGTATCTGTTACTATCTCTTCTCTCCCCTCTCATTGGCTGCATGCTTAAGGTCTTCTCTCAGCAACAAGAAGCTCCTAAGCCAACAATGCAAAGATAAGCAGCTATTCCATTTCATGAGCCACCTCAGCCACCTCTCACCTCTGTGATCAATATCATCAGTATCACTATCTGCTTCCTCATCCTCTTCATCCAAGGTTCCCCGAGACAGGATCAAATCAGAGGGGTCCCGCACAGGAGATAAGGTTTCTACAGAGAAAACACCTATCAGTAGCACGTCATGAAGTATGCTTCCTCAAAGAGGTGATTTGAATCAATAAGCAATTATGATTATAAACTGGCAGTATAAAAGTGGTCATAATATAAATGCAGAATTTTACCTCTTCTAAATATTTTATTAATACCACTTAACATTTTTACAGTAGTATAGTTCACAAAGTGCTTTCATTATCCCAATTACCCAAAAGACTCAATTTTTATGCTGAGGAAAATAATTCTCAAGTAGCTTGTCTTGGTACTAACATCATTCATTTCTAGCAGCTCACAGCTTGGAAGAGGCTGTTTTTCCTATGAAGGCCAAAGACATTTGAGCAGATCCAGTGTGCTGATGTGTCAGGGTAAAGATGTGGACTGCTGAAGAAAATTCTTGGTGGAAACTTAAGTTCAGAGAGGGTCTGAAGAGAATAGAGGGTGAAATCCTAGTGAGTAGAGGAGCCAGTGTATTATACAAGAAAAAGAGGGAGGGGGAAAAAATGGAAAATCGAATATACTAACAAAGGTAAATCCCCTGAATAAGGGCTGAGCTCCAATTATCAGGAAAAAGTCTAATCTAGTAATTCCAGGGCAAGGGATTCAGGCTGTCAGGCTTGGGCTCTAATGAAAACCTAAAAGCCACAGGACATGACCACTCTCTTCAGGAGCCTAAGGGGTCTGAGAGAGCTCAGCAGGGGAATAAGGGTGGTCAAAAGCAGCAACTTCAAGGGGCACAAATCTCAAGGGGCCAGTCACTCCAAAAGAGGATGACATGGTGTGCTGACAGTCATGCTTCCCTCTGCGCCCAACTAAAAATTATACAACTATGATTTTTTTCTCAAAGAATTTAAACTCCCCCAACCTTTAACAGTTATCTGAGTACAGAAGACCCTTTGTGGCAGATTTAACATTTGCCACTTCACATATTCATAAGGGATTCCAAAGGACCACAGCACACAGAAATTTATGTTGCTGGGGTGTGCGAAAAGGATGGGAGGGGCAAGTACACTCAACAGGTAAACCCAGCCAGTTTCTGGCATCTCCGTCTCCAAGTGGCTTTGCTGTTTTCTACTAAATGTACGAAATAGCTTTCATGAATCGAACTTCACTCCTTTAAAAGCCAGTCCATTAATAAGCATGGCTGGGCAGGGGTGTGTATATTCAAATAAAAGCAGCAGCCTAGAAACCCCTAAGTATCAATAACAAAGTTAACGTAATTAAAAATTCCAGTGAAATAACAGGATAAAAAGACTGATACAAACAAATTAAAAGCCTTCATATATACAAACATAACCAGTTAGAAAATATAATGGTTCTCAATAATCCCATTTTCAACACTAAAATAACTGGAATGAATTTAACAAGAAAAACGCAAAACCCACATGCATAAAGACCTGAAAGACACAAAAGTAGACTTGACAAATAAATGCACGTTCTTGTCCTTGTTTAGGAAGACTCCACATAGAGTTGTCAGTTCTCCCTAAATTAATGAACATAACATAATCCCAATAAAAACACCAAAAAGCTTTCTTAGCAAACTAAGTAAGTTGATACTAAAGTTCATGTGAGAAAATATACATGTAAGAAGATCCAGGGAAATACTAAAAAGGAAAAGAATGAGGGGCATTAGGTGTAGCAGACATTAGAACATATAATAAAGGCTCTACATTATTTTAACAGCATGGTACAAGCCCGTAATAGTCCAGAAGAATAAAACAGGAAGTTCAGACATAGAGTCAAGTACACATGGAACCTTAGTACATGATACAGGTAACACCTCAGATCAGTGAGGCAAAGGAACAGTAAAACTATTTATGAGAAAGGTAACATAGACCTATACCTCACACCATACCTGGCAATAAACTCTAAAGGATCAGGGATCTAAACGTAGAAAATGAAACCATACAAGTACTAGAGTGAAACACAAGTGAATTGCTCTTTAATGTAAGTATATGCAACGAATTCCCAACTATGACTCAAAACCCAGCTGTAATAAAAGAGGAGATAAATTTGACTACCTCAAAAGAAAACAAAAACTTTTGCATGGCAAATACCATGAACAAAGTCAAAAAAAAAAAATTCACAAACAGGGAGAAAATAGTTGCAACATATATCACAGGAAAATGGATACTGTCCCTATTATAATAATGGATATTAAAATTGGTGGATAAACATTTAAAAATTCAAAGGATATTCATATAGTCTCAAAGCATCACCCCACAAAATACTTATTATGAAGTGAAAAATAACTTTACAATGAAAAAACCTGGCAGACACCATTTTAAGTAATCAAAATATCACCAGTAATGGAACAAATGACCACCACATGCCTCCTAATATTATGAACAGAAAAAACACAACTTCGTTTATCTGTAAAGTTCTGCCAAAAATGAGATACCTGAATCAAATCCTGAGAAACATTCTACAAAATGTTCTGTACACTTGTCAACCATGTCATGAAATAGAAAGAAAGACTAAGGAACATTCCAGATTAAAGGAGAATAAGAGACATGACAACTAAATGCAATGGGAGATCCAAGATTTTTCTCCTGCTATAGAAGGCAAATAGCTACATCTAAGTAAGGACTCTACATTAGATAACTGTAATGTGTCAATGTTAATTTCCTAATTTTTGATAACTACAATTAAGTCATATAAAATAATATCCTTGTTTTTAGGAAATATGCACTAAAGTATTTAAGGTAAAGGAGCATCATGTCTGCAACTTGCTCTTAAATGATTCAGAAAAAACAGAATATATACCATATGAATATTTTATATTTCTAAATATATATATTTATATAAAACCATACATATATGAGAACATCAGAGAAAGAATAAAGTAAATGTGATATGATGTTAACATTTTGGGAATCTGGTTAAAGGGCATATTGTAATACTTACACTAGTCATGCAACTTTTCTGTTAATCTGAAATTAGGTCAAAATTAAGTTTAAAAAAACAGAGGAAGTAAAAAGTATTTTAAAAAATAACACAGTAAAGTAAAAACTACCTAAAGAGGAAGAACCCAAAGAAGTATAGTTTATACAACTTCTAGGGGACTGTCTTTCTAATTATATATATATTATACATAAAAATTATATTCTTATGTGTGTGTATATATACATAGAAATATAAATACGGATAAAGTAAATGTGGTACAACACACTTCTCTCTCTTACTTTCTCTCTCTCTAATGCTTTCTCTTAAATCTAAGTATCTTCCTGCTAACAGAAAATAAGGGGACCCTCCTTTTAGTTCCTAACACTAGGACCCTCCCATACCTGCAGCAGTCCCTGTGCCCAAGGCCACAGAACCCATATCTTTCTGAAGGCGTTCCAGTTGTTCTTTCTGCTGCTGGCTCTGTGCACTGGCCTGTATATAAAAAGGAAAATATCATATTAAAAAAGTAGCCTCAAGTCAGAGGCCAGACTTCTAACAGATGATGACCAATTACAGAAATACTAGAGGTTGTTACTTAGACATTGAGGCAGATAGGGAATGGCTGGTATCAAGACAGAAACACCTAGCAGAGTGGGCCCAGATTAGCAGAAGTTTAGACTGAAGGGCTCTGCACACTGAATTAAGAGGTTTCAGAAACTAGACACAGAAAGCATATCAAAAGAACCTTCAAGTATATATAGCAAGTAGGCTCAGTGATGAGGAGCAGTGCAGCTGAGAGCGGCAGGCCACCTCATCATTAGGAATAACTTGTGACCCGCCTCTCTGTTCTTAAAACAAAATTCTACAAGCAGTCTTTAAGTGGAACTTAGAGTAGGGGTGGGAGTGGGGTGCAAGATGGGTTTAACATATATAACAGGAAAAACTGATTTTTAAAAATTCAAATTAAGAGAAGAAAAATAGTCGAGGGGACTGATTCCAGACAACATTCACACAAATTTATAATTTTAAAATAGCAAATATCTAAGAGATACATTTTTGTTTTGATAGTCAAAACAAAAGCATTTATGTCAGGAGGCAGTACATGGTCTGAGGTTGTATTTAGTAGCCCTAAAATAACACAACCTCATCTCTTACCAGTGATTTCTTCAGACGTTCATATTCAGGACGATACTCTCTGGAAAGAGAAACACTTTCTAAATTCCTTTGCTTGGTATCTGTCCTACCTGCCCTCACATCACTTCTATTTTCCTAGGACTGTGACAATAACAGAACATCTTATTTCACTGAACATCAGCTGTATCAAGTCTCAGTCACTGAGATGCTAGCTCTATGGATGCCTGCCCCACCCTGCAATCAGCCAAGAGACAAAAGACAGCCTGCTGGCTGGGCTGGAAAGATGGACTCTGGGACCATGACAGATAAACTCTTCATTCACTTGGATGAATACCTGAGATGAGTCAAAGCAACTAGGCCTGATGGGTTCGGGAAGCCCAATATATAATTATGTGGTTTACATGGGCCACAATGAAAGGATACAGGAAAGAATCTATCCTTTTTGTTTTGATAACACACACCAAAAAACCCCTTGCCTGATGAAACAAAATCAAAATAATGTGTCTGAAAACCATACTGTTGTTGGGATCTTACTAAGTATAAAGCCAAAGGAGCAGGAAAGGAGACAGGTGCTCTGATTCTACTTTCCTTTAGGGAAATGGAGTTCTACTACTAACCATGACAACAGTTACAAGCACTTTACTAGACAGTGTGCTTACTGTGTGTCTGCAATTGCACAAGGTGCTTCAAATACATTTTTCTCAAGCAACCCCCCCTCACAGCAACCTTAGCAATAAATGCTATTATCCTGATCTCACAAATGATGAAAACTTGCTAAGGTCACTCATTTATTAAGTAAAGGAAACAAATCCAACCCACGCTTTTCTGATAACATCTACATTCTTAATCAAGGAACAACCAATGTGGCAAACAGGCCAAATACAGCCTGCTGCTTATTTTTGCAAATAAAGTTTTACTGGAACAGAGCCACACCCAATCCATCTACAAATGGTCTATGGGTGTTCGTGCTCTACAATGACAGAGAGTTGAGCAGTTGCAACAGAGATCGTAAGGGCCACAAAGCCTAAAATATTTACTATACAGCTTTTTACAAAAAAGTCTGATGACTCCTGCTCTTAATTACTCAGTATAGTGGAGATTTTCTACTGGTCTTTTTTTTTTTTTAAAACACTTGTTACCCCTAAGTGTGTCAGATCCAGTACATACATGTATGGCAACTACAGTACATACACTGCGAAAACCAAAATGCTCTGCCTGGCAAAACTGCAGAATGGTGGGTTACTAAGAATGTCATCAATAGGATTTTCCTTTATCCTCACCTCTCATATTCTTCTGCAGCACTGGTGACTTGCACAAAGAGTTCATCTAAGCCTGTACCCAGAACAGCAGACACACCCACCACCTGCCAAGAACATTAATGCCACAGAGGAAACAGTATTTTTAATTGGTGTGTATATTATCTTGTTCAAACATCATACGATCTTCATACACAAAAAGTTTAGACATTTCCACAAGTCCTTGGCAAAGAGTGAAGCTAAAGTAAAACAAAACAGCAGGCCTACTCAAAAGTCACGGAAGCAGGTCTGTGGCAATAGAGAACTGAAAAGATAACAACTAAGCCAATAGTAGACTTTTTATTTAGTCCCTATCAAATCAGATGACTATTCTCTACAAAATTAGTTTCCCAATGCCTTTGTTTGGGCAATTACCATTTGCCCTACCACCCATACCCACCCACTTTTGCTCTACAAATCTCACCCTTCCTTCAAAGCATACCTTTAATGCTCTATTCTCCAAAATCCCTTCTTTCAAAAGTTATCTGTCCCCTCACCATCAGGCCCAACTTCCAATCTTTCTTAAGGTACTTACCACAATATATGTTTCAATTCTGTGTGTAGCCTTCTCTTCTAACTACACCACAGCCTGAGGGTAGTGTCTTTTATCTCATTTATCTTTCAAACTTCCAGGTTTTAAAAAGTAATGCTTCAGTAGTTACTTTTCAGAAGGTAATGAATTTCTTTTCTAAGATATCAAAGCCAGCCCTATGGATTAAAAGGTTATCTAGAGAGACTGTCAATATGAGCAGAAGAGAAAATTTACCCTAAGTGAGCTGTAAAACTCATCTAAAACCAGGCTCATTGAACGAGTCAGGTTACTGACATATGTAGTCTCCTGATTCAAGGCATCTTGGAAAGCCTCAAAATCTTGCATCCATTCCACTGCAAAGCTGTGATCAATGATGTCAGTCTATACCAGAGAGAAGTCAACCAGAGATGAGTTAAGACATCAAACAAGAGCAAAAAAAAAAATGTTTAACAAAATGGTGACTGCAGAGAGTAACTCATATATTTTTTCTGCTTTCCTCACTTCCTCCCCACTGCAACAAGGCACAAAGAGCAAAACTGTTGTGTAAATAATTAAATGAAGATATGCATTCTCTTGGTTGAAGCAGACCCTTTGCTATCCACTGCCAAGTGATCACGGCCAAGGTGGATGCAGTACATCCAGCCTCTGAAGTCAAGTAGTCTCTTGCATTCTAGCCATCAACAAACAACAGGGAAGTCTTGTTTTTGTTTAACTGCCATTCCCAAGAGACTAGTAGTCCTTCCCTGACTTACAGTCCCAAGGCTGAGGGATAGCCTATATGCTATAGTTGAGGCACCACTCCACATAGCCTAAAAGAACTTTGGATGAGACTCAGTGATGAATATTCATTCAATGTCATTGAATCTTTTCCCTAGAAGTGCTCATGACTTTGCTCCAATAAAGCTTCAGTCTGCTCTCCAGCATCTGAAATAATCCTTCCCACCTACCCAAACCTGCCAATAACACAAGGTTTTGATAAAAAGAAATAATGAATGAAAAAAGGAAGGCTCCACTTACTTTGTTCATGACCACAATGAAAGGAAGCTTGGTTTTATACAAGATGCTGAAAATCAAACATCAAGACATTATTAGTAAAAGCCCTAAGGCTCTTGCTTACCTGGTGTGAGCCTGCTGGAACTGAGTAAACAGAGAACAGGTTCGGACCCTAACCAGATGCATCCATTCTAACACAGCTCTTGCATGTTCTCTCCCATGAGGAAAACCACTGCCACCATCAAGCCAATGACACATACATACTCTCTCTTTCTTGGACTAATAATGCTTTGATACGGATCCTGTTTGTGTGTGTGTTATTTGATTGTTTTTACTAAATAATTCTTTTGAGTAATTAACATAAAAATGAAAAAATGCTGTCAGTCATCAGATTTCTATCTGAACTAGGATTTCTTGCATCTAACAAGAAGCAACATCCCTCATTGTATCAGAAGGGAGAAATGGCGATGGTGTTTGTGTACCCCCTAAATCAAATTATCTCAGCTATTCTAATAGTCTGCCTTGTTCCTAGGTCTAATGCACTAACATACCCCAGGGAGGCATATCCTTCCTCTCTTAATGTCCTCTCTTTAGGCAAACCTGTACATTTTAGAATTATGGATAAATCTTTTTATTCATAATTTCTCAAGTTAAAACTTCACTATACCTATCATAACACAGAAAAGGAGCATTTAGATTTGGGTTTCATTCAACTGGGAGCAACTATCAAGAAGGTTCATATTCACATTCCACCTATTTCTGTAACAAGCAAGGGAGGAAGATGAGAAACTGCTGGCAGAAAATGCCAGTAAGACATGCCTCTTCTCCCCTCTGACTTCCACCCACTTTACAATGAATATTCATTCAACTTCATTGAATCTTTTCCCTAGAAGTGCTCATGACTTTGCTTTAATTAAGCTTCAATCTGCTCTCCAGCATCTGAAATAATCCTTCCCACCTACCCAAACCTGCCAATAACACTATACTGTGGCAAACCAGAATGAGCACAAATCTAGGTGGAAGCACTCAGGGCTCAAAAACAAAAGAGAAGAGGAGGCCTCATACCTTGAAGCAATACCATGCCTCCCAATAATCAGTTACCTGCAGGCATAGAGCATATTGGACATGAAGGTCACTGGGCTGGTACTTCTTGATGTATCCATTACATAAATGACAATCGTTGGAAATGAAGATGCCTAAAGCCACAAAATATTAAAGCCTTAGCCAAGAGTGCTCACGACTGTCCCCAAACTCCTTTAGCAAGGGAGAACCTCTTTAAGAAAAGTGCAGAGAGCTTCTATAACTCCCTCCCATATAAGACCCCAGCCAATGAAAAGATACTTATCCAGTGTAGCTCTCTAGTCACTTTCAGTAACAAGTCCTAGAATACTTACCAGGGCCTCAGTGATGATTGTCCCAGAAGCTGACCAGGTAAACACCTCAATCTGTCCAGGTGTGTCAATCAAGACATATCTGTGTCAAGAAAGACCGTTAAAGAAATACTACACTTGTGTAATGCTAAAAGATATTCCATCACACAAAACACTAAACATCTGGTTATCTAAGACTGGGACAAGACTTGGGACAACCTCTTCACACTGCCAAGTCTAAGTTCCTCCTGCTGCCCTTAAAATGCATACCACATTTCCCCAGGCTTTGTTCAATGCCCAAAATTTATGCTAATGGGCAGAAGCAGAGTCCATATATTATGTGATAGTTTAGAAACACATTGCATTAAAAACTAGAGACAAGCAAACCCAGAATGTAAACCTCCTGGAAAATCATCCTGCTGCTTGGAGGTAGGGTTGAGGAAGGTGGAGGGGAAGGAAGAAAGGAGTAATGGAGGAATAGGGAGGGATAGCCAAAGAATACGGGGTTTCTTCTTGAGGTGATCAAAGGCTCTACAACTGTGGTGATGGTTCACAATTCTGTGAATGAACTAAAAGCCAATGAATTATACACTTTAATGGGCAATACATCAACTTCAATTGTATGGCATACGAATTAGTCTCAATAAAACTTTCTAAAAATGAGCTAAGAATTCAAATATATACCAATGGCCAATAAACATATGAAAGGATGCTCAACATCATTAATCACTGAGGAAACATATCAAAACCACAATGTGATCTCTCTTCATATCCACTGTGATGGCTATGGTCAACAACAAAGACAATAAATAACAAGTACAGGTGAGGATGAAGAGAAACCAGAACCCTCCTACACTGCTGATAGGAATATAAAACGGTGCAGCCATGAGGAGCTGGGGGTAAGGGGGACTAAACAGTGACTCCCAGTGAGTATGGGATTTCTTTTTGGAATGAAGAAATGTTCTGAAATTAGATATGGTGATCAATGCACAAGTTTGTAAATACACTAAAAACTACTAAATTACTAAACTGTATACTTTAAAAGACTGTACTTTACAGCATGTGAATTTATATCTCAATAAAGCTATTTTTTTAACTCTATCTGGTATGATCCCATTTCTGTAAAAGCACCTTATCCATCCATCCTTCTATGTATATATGCATGGAAAAAAGTGGAATGATAGTCACTGACAGTAATAATAATGATAGCTATTTCTAGTGACAATTAGGGTGATAGTTTCATTTTTAAAGTATTATGTATGGCTTGAATTATTTTAAATTAACATATATCCCTTTTTTTACAAAAATACTGAATTATTTTTGTAAAAAGCAAATTTATTAAAAATTTAAAAAGTTTAGTATATTTGAAAAAACAGACCTATTAAAACCTTAACAAGTTTACAGTGGTTAATTATAATAAAAACAAATGTTGTATTTTGATGCAGTTTAAACTGATAAATATAAATGATTATATTCATTTAAACAAGAGTTAGAAAGGTGTTTCAGTTATTCATAAGGAGCCCTATTTATTATCATTCCAGGTAAACCATGAGATTTTAAAAATAAAAGGTGTTTCAGAGACTTCAATGCCAATACACACGGTTTCCCAAGAGAAGGCAGGCAGACAACTCAATTTGGACCAAGTCTCAAAGTATCTCCTGAGAAACCATGGGCATATACCAAAGTGATCGAGGGTGGGTGTCTATTAAACTTAGTTCTAAAGCATATAGAATTCTTTTTTTTTAATATTATTAATGTACAATTACATGAACAACACTGTGGTTACTAGACTCCCCCCACCACCAAGTCCCCTCCACATACCCCGTTACAGTCACTGTCCATCAGTGTAGTAAGATGCTATGGAATCATTACTTGTCTTCTCTGTTATAGCATATAGTATTCTAATGATTGTTTTTGCCCTTTCATTTTCAGTGGTTTCACCTCAATCTACACCATTTCAGAGCTTGATGGCATGTTGAAATCCTAGAAATGTGCCAAATACAGAGTTATAAGATGTTAAACTGAAATCACTTACTTAGACATGTTCTGGGCTTTCTCAATAAATTTCATCACCTAAAAGGAACAGATGCTAATTACAACAGGATCCTTTTCAACACAAATCACAAGGCCCGCCTCCCAGTCACCATCAACTACTGAATCTCTATGTTCTCAATCTTAGGACATTCACTAACAGACTCAGTGAACTGAAGAAGGAAGAGCCACATCAGCAGCACTGCAACAGCCTGGAGCACAGTGCAAGGATCTGAGAAGCTGAGCACGATCTGCCAGGTCATCTCTCTTGGTGCTTCAGTAAAATGTGAGAAACCTGTCTCATGGACTGGTATCAGGATTAAAAATTAATGATTACAAAATACGCTTACCAAAGTAGAAGGTGATAGAAAAAACCTATGTGATAACTATCTATCATAAGTAAAAGGTCTCAGTATCTTTCCTTTCCATGCCTGCTAGCCCATCCCACTCCCGATCCCTTTACTCCATCCTCTTAACACTGCAAACCAATAATAAAACATGGGAAGAACCCAGGTCTCTTGGATTTTTGTTTTACTAGCTGTTGCAAATGGTAAATGTGCAATGTCTCACAACTTTGATCATCCTCTCATAGCCTACCCTCTGTCTACCAAAATGCCTATTTGTTTTATATATTTACATCCAGATTTATTGCTCTTCTTTTCCAATGTGGTCAAGTGAAGGCATTCAAGAGTCACACGTTTTTATACAACCATATCTAGGTAAGTAAAGACAGACATACCTGATCAAACCTGGTAGCAAAGAGATTGAGTGAGGTCACTATGCCACCATTGGGCCCAAGTCCATACCTAAACACTAAGTTGAGGATATAAAATGACTTATAAATCAAATTAGATAATGAAGTTCACAGTTAGGATATCATTCATACAAAGAGCATTATAAAATTAGTGTTCCATTAATGGATGCTGGCAAGCTAATCCTCGACCAGTATGTATGTACCACACAATCTTAACCTCATAAGAAGACATTCATTGTCAAGGTCTTCCCCATTCATTTATCATCTAGGGATGGACAGGCAAAGTGAAGAAACTAAAGTGACCGATACATAATAGATGCATTAGGCAGTGACAGCCTGCTGCTGTTAGCCATTAACATCATCTGTATAACATTCCCTGTTCTGATCCTCACTAATCAAGCAGTCTGATTATAATTAGTCTACCTACCTATACTCATCTATAGGGCAAGTACACATTTTCAAACAGCAATATACTAAAAGATGACCCTACCAAACCTACTCATTTCTTAGTTTCCCAGTCTGAAGAGGTAGTGACCAGTGGGTGTGTCTTCCAAGGAAATACTAGCTTGTACGACCCAGGCATGGCACCAGCTAGCCACTCATTCTCTGTGCTAATTAGAATTTGCCGTCCGGGAAGATGGTAAGAAAACTAAAATCACAAGCTGAAATAATATTTCCAGTTACCTAAAATACCTCTCTTTACATTCATCTTCCATCCTCCCAATAAAACCAGTTCAAAGTAATCAAATGCTTTTTGCTAGTGTATTTCACAAAATACAAAAACACTCTTTCAAAGACACAAAATACACAGAGAGTAATTAGCTAGGGATGAGCCAACACCAAAGTAGATGTGGAAAAGGATACTGTTTCATTACTTCTTTATACTTCACAGTGTCACGAATATCTGAGGGGAAAAAAAAGAATTAACTGGAATTTAGTACATAAGAAACAATATAATTTGAGACCCTTCATCTACAAAATCCAAGTCAACAGGTCTCCCACATCATCTCCTTTCTCTGAGGAAAAAAATTAAAGTTTCTCTCTTGGCATCTGAGTTACTTTTCAAATCTGCTTTCTAAATATTTAAGCTAAGATCACTGAATTGTGAGAGGAAAAGAAGCAAAACTATGAAAACAGAAGGGCAAAAGGCAGCCTATAAGTACCTTTTCTACAAGCAAAAAACTGAAACTAGCCTTTTAGGTTTTTCTTGCCAGCATTATCTTCTACTAATTTCCCCAGCTTCACACTGGTGTCCTTGCTTACAAAGGGTAACTGCAAGTAACCCATGAAGAATGTTAGGCTAGGAGTTTTCAAATTATGGCAGAGATGAAATGATATGACACAAGGAAAAAAGTTTTATACAACTTAAATAAGTTTTCAGTGACCATATGCATAGAAAAAGGGCACTACCTCAAGAAAAAGGGTTTATTTCTTACTAATCAACTACTGATCACAAAGATAATGCAGACATGGTTTTTAAAAAGCAGTTAATCAATCCAGTAATATCTAACTAAACCTACCTCAGCAATCTGTAGACCTACCCCATCAACTATCAGAATTCCATTTTTTAAACTGAATTATCATATAGTATTCTATTATTTCAGGTGTATATCATAGTGATTTGATATTTTTATTACAAAATGATCTCCACAATTTGTCACCATACAAACCTATAATGAACTTAAATATTTTATAACTGGAAATCATACCTTTTAATTCCCTTCACCTATTTTGCCCATCCTCAACCTCTCCCTTCTCTGGTAGCAGTTTGTTTCCTTATCTATGAATATGTTTCTGTTTACTTGTTTTTGTTGTTTTAGATTTCACATATAAGTGAAATCATACGTTGTTTCTCTTCTTTCTCTGACTTATTTCACTTAGCATTAATACCCTCTAGGTCCATCCATGTTGTTGCAAATGGCAAGATTTCATTCTTTTTTATAGCTGAGTAACAGCCCATTATATGTGTAGATATATAGATAGATCCCTATCTTCTATACCCATTCATCTATCAATGGATAGAACTCTATGCTTTCAGTGAGAATATGGGCAATTTTTTTCTGGAACTCTTCTCAAAATGATCTCTGATTCTTAATACACGATTTTCCTTAATTAGTATGTTTGGGGTATAAGCAGCTTAACAGATTAAGAAGAGACAAGGAGGAAGAGGACTAGCACACAATGATAACCTGGCAATCAGGAAGCCTAGATACTATCAAGAATCATGACAGTGGGTCACACTCATTCTTAATCTTTTTTTATAGTTGCAGATGCCTCTTAAAGACTAATGACAACTGAAAACCTCTCCCCAAAACAATGTATATACACACATATACACACATTGTCTCATTGTAACTTTGGAGAAGGTTCCTAAGGATCAGTAAGTGAACTACCACACAAGAACCCTTATACTCTAAACTCTGAGAAAAGAAACTAAAGTTTAAAAGGTCTGTGTATCAGAGCCTTCGAAGGATTTATGGCCTGGAACTGCGAGGACTTTCTGTCACTTCATTATCCCAAGTGACAATAGCCTGATATCCTAGGGTAAGCAAAAGGGGAGAGAGAACAGTGAATGGTAAGGAAACAAATTTAGGAAAGGGAAAGTAGTAAACAAAGAAAATGTGAATAAGGAAAAAACCTGTTTAGGGATTCTAGCAAACCCAAAGGAAATCAAAGATAGCTTTAAAAAAGTGAAAAATGAAAAGCACTGAAGACTGGCAGGCTGGAAGCTTCCCATTGTCTGAGGCACTTCACACAGTTTGGTACAATTTACTCACCAATATTGGCAGGAAAGGGGACTTCATGCACAGCTGGGTCCAGATTGATCACATAAGGTGGAGAGCCTTGGCTATGCAGGTGTCCCGTGAGCCTCTGCAGAGATATGGGGAGAGCGATGGAGTGGGACAAACAGGGCATGATGACGGGACAAGAGAGAGTATTCCTTTACCGACCATACCTGAAGACCACTGTACTTACATATCCCTCTACATATCCCTAAAACATCTGCCCCAACATTCAACTCCCAGGAAATGCTATCTTTATCGCTCATCTAACAGAGCCTCTCTCCCCTACTCTCTATCACTAAACTTGTTTTATGTGGGGGGGGTTTTCCTATCACCCCCACTATAATATCAGCTCCATGAAAGCATGAACCTTGTCTACCTCACTTTCGCTGTATACCCCGTGGCCGAAGCATGACAGATGCTCAAGATAGAATTCTTTAGCAATCTACACCGAAAGCCTGTGTGCTAGCCCTGTAATAATCGCCAGTTACTTGCAAGCCTCTCCAGGAGTTGGCAATTAATTCCAAACAGCAGTACAACGTGGTAAGTCGTACCAAGTATGCTCTGAGGGTGAGCAGAAGAGAACTTTGATCAATGCAGGCTAGGCTCCGAGAAGGCTTCGCAGAGGATGGAACCAAGGTGGCGGGCAAGTCCCCGAGAGCCAGGCACCGGTCCCTTCCAACTCCCCAGAGCCCTGCCTCGCGATCTCCGTAGCCTGCCGCCAGCCACAGACAATCTCGCGCGCGCACCGACTACACCTGTGCCGTGTACGTCACCTGGACAAAGGTGGTTTTCCCAGATCCCGCCATTCCCAACACCAGCAAACACACTGGGGGCCGAGGACTCCCCGAAGCCTGCGGTGCAGAGGTAGCTGCGGCCGCCGCCATCTTCCCCCTAGCTCCGCCTACTCTACCATAGAGACTCGTGTGGCTAGAAAGGCTTCCGCGCCTAAGGCTAGGGCCCAACTGGCCGGAAAGGGAAGGGCGAGGGGCGGGGCGGGCGCCAGAGAACCTCCCGCGTCCCGCCCCTCAGAGGGCTGGCTAACGACGGTGGCGGGCAGGTGGGAGGGGCTGGAAGAGGCCTGGGGACGGGGCGCTCACCGTCTTAGGGTAGGACCTGGGAGGGGCAAAGCTCTGGTTCCCAGGAGAGCGAAGCGAGGTGGGATCCCTAGGGCAGGGCTCCCACAGAACGAAAATGAAGACAGCGCATTTCACTTTGACCCCCAAAAAGCAGGGAACGAAACCACGGGAGAACCGGCTGCAAGAGCTTATTGGGCAAGCGAGGAGGTTAAGCAACTCAGGGCCAAACGGCCCAGAGCGACCCAGGGGGTTGCGGGGCAGCCCCGAGACCCACTAAGCACAGAACAGAGGAACTGCGAAAACTTTGCCCACCGGGACGCAGTTTCTGTGTCTCAGGCCCCAGACCCTAGCGCTCGCTCCTTGGCGGGCACCCTCAGTGAACTACACCATGACCTTGAGGATGAACGCTTGGACTCCTCGAAGGGGCGCCTCCCTGCACGGAAGGGTCTTTGGAAACCGTAAAGGCGGTGGAGAGACCTTTATTCCTACTCCCGAACACCCAGTCTGTTCCCTTAGCTCTTTGTAGCTACTGTAGGGTTGAGTAAATCATAAAATCTGGGTTCACACCCAGGTTCTGTCACTTGCTAGCGATGTAAATTGTGGTCAAGTCAAATACTCAACCTGTTTTCTCCTCCTTAAAACTGAGATAATACCTCACAGGGTTGTAGTGACGCATAATGTAAATTGTAAACTACACTTCCTCATCTTTACCCCTAACTGTTTGCTCCCTCCACGAGGATATGGTCTGCACTGCCGGTGTCCCTTCCCTGCTGAGTAAAGGCAGCCAGGTGTGTGTAATGGGGGGTCGTGGGTGGGAGGGAGGTGACCAGGCAGGATGCAGGAAGGACCCACGCCTTCTCTCAGGCCTCAGCCACCTGTTCTGAGCCCTACAGCTTTAAAACAGTAGAGGACAGTGTGACGGCCCAGGTGCAGCTGGCCGGCTATAGTCAGATTCTGCCCATCTCGCCCCATTCCTCACGCACAGATGCTGCAGTGTCCTTAATCCTGGCACAGTGATGCCCAGTGTGCATCTGGTGATGACTTAAGTGCCCACAGCCACTGTTCTCTGACTTTGCCTGAAAGGTCACACAGGATGTCACTACCCAGTCCTTATGTTGAGACAGACTTGCCCGGCTTTCTGAAGTCCTTTGGTAGATGGCATGGGCCCCTCTGGGCCCCCACAGGGCTCATGTGCGGTGAAGCTTCTGTGCCCCAAAGGTCCCCACCTGTGATTGTCAGAGGAACCAGGGCATCTCCCTCACACTAGATTTCTTTGTGTTGATGTCTTAATAGAAAAAGGTTTATTCAGCTTTTCTATTTCATCTTGTGTCTGTTTTCATAAGTTGTACTTTTCCTAAAAATGTGAGTGTTTCATCTAAATTGTCAGATTTCTCGAAATACAGTTGCTGGCGCTGTTGTCCTGTGTTATCGTCCATGGGACCACCCTCCGTAGGACCACCTGCCTTGGGCCTGCCCATGTCCGAGGTACCACTTTGCTTACTGAATCATTTGCACTGCAAAATTGTAGTGATTTTCTCTGTCTCTGCTTTTTTTAAAAAAATGTCTGCTTTTATTTTTACTATTTCTTTTTTTGTTCACTTTGGGTTTACTTTGCTCTTCTACCTTCTTCAGTGGACACTTAGGTCACAGATTTTAGACCCTTTCTTACTATATTTAAAGCCACAAGTTTCCCTCTAAGCAGATGCACACATGCGGACGTGCACGTCCATGGCTCACACACCAGCTGTGGGCACCTGCACATCACACACAGGTGCACAGGAAGGGGCTCCCTTGCCCTCACCATCTCCCAGCTCAGAGGGAAGGGTGCCTCCCCGGAATCTAGCTTTCAGTCTGTGCCCTGACCAGGCCCCACTCGTTTGCAGTGGTCCAACTGGGGCAGACAAGCAGGGGCCCAGGGGACATTAGCCACCAGCCACCTCTCAGCTGCCCATCCTTGTACTCATTCATCTTGTCTTGGTTGCAGGTGACAGCTGGGCCGGAGAGTGCCAGCCCTGGTGGGGGCGGGATGGGGGCGTTGGGGGGCAGAGAGCCTGCCTGCTGCATGGAGCAGTGGTGCACACCACGAGAAAGTGCAAGCCAAGCCAGCCCTCCCCTGGAGCCCTGAGACAAGGCTTACAGGTGCCATGTCACCAGGGCAGGTCCCGAGCCAGGCAGGGCTGATCTGGCCCAGCCAGGTGGGCACACATGGGCTGTCACCAGTTGTCAGCGTGGAGGGTCCACAATTTGTCACCATACAAACCTATAATGAACTTAAATATTTTATAACTGGAAATCATACCTTTTAATTCCCTTCACCTATTTTGCCCATCCTCAACCTCTCCCTTCTCTGGTAGCAGTTTGTTTCCTTATTTATGAATATGTTTCTGTTTACTTGTTTTTGTTGTTTTAGATTTCACATATAAGTGAAATCATACGTTGTTTCTCTTCTTTCTCTGACTTATTTCACTTAGCATTAATACCCTCTAGGTCCATCCATGTTGTTGCAAATGGCAAGATTTCATTCTTTTTTATAGCTGAGTAACAGCCCATTATATGTGTAGATATATAGATAGATCCCTATCTTCTATACCCATTCATCTATCAATGGATAGAACTCTATGCTTTCAGTGAGAATATGGGCAATTTTTTTCTGGAACTCTTCTCAAAATGATCTCTGATTCTTAATACACGATTTTCCTTAATTAGTATGTTTGAGGTATAAGCAGCTTAACAGATTAAGAAGAGACAAGGAGGAAGAGGACTAGCACACAATGATAACCTGGCAATCAGGAAGCCTAGATACTATCAAGAATCATGACAGTGGGTCACACTCATTCTTAATCTTTTTTTATAGTTGCAGATGCCTCTTAAAGACTAATGACAACTGAAAACCTCTCCCCAAAACAATGTATATACACACATATACACACATTGTCTCATTGTAACTTTGGAGAAGGTTCCTAAGGATCAGTAAGTGAACTACCACACAAGAACCCTTATACTCTAAACTCTGAGAAAAGAAACTAAAGTTTAAAAGGTCTGTGTATCAGAGCCTTCGAAGGATTTATGGCCTGGAACTGCGAGGACTTTCTGTCACTTCATTATCCCAAGTGACAATAGCCTGATATCCTAGGGTAAGCAAAAGGGGAGAGAGAACAGTGAATGCTAAGGAAACAAATTTAGGAAAGGGAAAGTAGTAAACAAAGAAAATGTGAATAAGGAAAAAACCTGTTTAGGGATTCTAGCAAACCCAAAGGAAATCAAAGATAGCTTTAAAAAAGTGAAAAATGAAAAGCACTGAAGACTGGCAGGCTGGAAGCTTCCCATTGTCTGAGGCACTTCACACAGTTTGGTACAATTTACTCACCAATATTGGCAGGAAAGGGGACTTCATGCACAGCTGGGTCCAGATTGATCACATAAGGTGGAGAGCCTTGGCTATGCAGGTGTCCCGTGAGCCTCTGCAGAGATATGGGGAGAGCGATGGAGTGGGACAAACA